TTTAAGCCAGGCCAAAAAGCAACTTGTATTTTAGAATAAGTGTCCACATGAGGATGTTAAACATCAGCAGTGAAGCTGGTGTAAGTATACTAATATAATTACACCGGTATAACTGGAAAAACCTTTTGTAGATAAGCCCTAATTCTTATACTTGCAAGTTTCTCCGTGTAAAATACGTGTGTAAGTCAGTGTATTGACTTCCTGAATCTGCATCCATCTGGAAACAGTAGCTTAGAAGTATGAATTACATTCATCCTAATGGGGTGACACTTAATTTCAGCATTATTAATTATTCCACTGCTGATCACTCCAGCATATCAGCTCTGTTAAAACCACATCCCAAACTGTTGCCAATGCCTTCTGATGGGCCAATGGGCTAAAAGCTCCACTTACTCGAGTCTTCCCACACACACTCTTCTTGCCTCTTCACAACTTCTGATACAGTCTCGCATTGTCAAAAATGTCTCATGCTTTAAAACTGAAAAGTAGGGACTATGTAAAACAACGCAGTATCAAAACTGATAATGCTGGGATACCTGCACTGACTTCCACCTTTGACTACTTTTTTTTTTTTTTTTTTAATTGAAACTGCTGCAGATTTTCTAGTCTGCTACCCCAGAGTGCCTTCCAGTCTGGAACCTTGCTGCAGAATTAAGGTCCAGCTTGCTGAGGAGTGTACAGGGGCTGTCATGGCACTAATGACGTTTAATGTGTCCATATGTTTCTGTTAGGACATGGTCCATATGCTAGAACAGTTTTGAATACCTTTTAGTGTCTGATCAACATTTCTCAAGTGATTTTTAATGTAATTAGATGTATATTTGAGTAGTTAGTGGTAATCTTTGCTTTTTATCCAACAGGCCTTATTTGGTCAAGATATTCTCTAGTTATTATTCCTAAAAACTGGGGTCTATTTACCGTGAATTTCTTTGTTGGCTGTGCCGGTGGTTCCCAGCTCTTTCGGATCTGGAGGTATGTACATACTACTGGGATGCTCTTCACTATAAATACTCTTTTTTTTTATTTGGGTGGCTTCTGAATTTCTAGAATTTGTTAGCGCTCACTAAATAACAAACAGACCTAGGTAAATACAGTCAGGCTTAAACAATTTGTATAAAAAAATCTTGCAGAACGATTAACTTTGCGCATCCCAGGGAACAATGTTGACAGTGTTTTTATGCCAAGCAAATGGAGTTAAGGTTGTAAATATCTAACATAACTAGAAGAATTATAGATAAGCAAAACTTTGAAAGGGATGCTGTAACTTTAAATCATAACCCTATTACCTAACATTGCAGAAACAAATAGAATTTCTCTGGAGACGTCTGTGCAGAATTCTCATTCCTGGGTCTTGGCTACCAAGCATAAGACGCGCTCTTCAAGCTACCGAGGGTGCACTTGCCCTTTAGGCAACTGTATTGCCATAGGCCTGAACCTCAACCCCCCCCAATCCTCCTCCCACCAGCCATGCATTTCTCTGGACTTCCCACTAGTATCCCTTGAACCATCCCATCAGTTCCTTCATTTAGCATAGGCAGCAAAAAAGCCCCTGGGAAGAGCACTCTCCAGCTTCCACTCCAGCTCTATTTCATTGGGCGGGCAAACCACAATTCCAAATGGCTACTTGAAATAATAAGCTAAAATGAGTCCAGAAGTGGTCAGCCATTTTACTTTGGAATCTTGCAGTAATTGTCTTGCTCAGCTGGTTGGGAGCCTTCACTTGTAATGTAATCAAAAGTTTAACTCAAACTTCTACATGTAAATCAAATTTGATCTGATCTTCAGGAGTGTTTCTGCCTACAGATAAGGCTTCTGTGCATTTTACCCTACTAAAGACTTCCTGCTACTGCTCAAATGTCCCAAAGAATAGTATGAAAAGGTTCTATTGTAGCTACTAGGGATGTGTTAACAAACTCATATGTTTGGTTTGCTGTATGCTGACTTTGCTTATGTTCTGTCTATAGGTACAATCAAGAACTAAAAGCCAAGGAAAAAGAGCAGCTGCAGCAAAAAGAACCTTAACGCTACTGGTCAGATCCAGCTGTGCACATAACTTCCAGTGGGACCTAGCTTGACCAGATTTAATCTTCTCGCATTGAGAAGGATGTGCTAATTTTTCTAAATGTCTAGAGAACAAATGTATTTCTTCAGCTGTAGGTAACATGCAGTGTCTCTGTACGTTTAAATAAAATATAACCTTTTAAGTTATAGCTGGTGTAATCAATTTACAATATGTTAAGTCCATTTTGATCCACAAACATCTAAGCGTATTTGCTTTTCCAGAAAAAAAATGAAATTCTTGGATGGCTCAGCTGATAAGGAGATTTGGACAGCTGATCAAGAGGTTCCACATCTGGCCTGGAGCCTAGTGAGTAATTAAACTATAGATGAGTGAGTCAATGGCTAAATACCCTTTGAGAATGGGGAAATGTCCATATCACAAATTATCACCACTCTGTACTAAATGACTTGTTAGCAGTCTCAGGAGCATGATCCGGAACAGATGGACCCTGGAGACTGAACTACCCTTGCTCTCTAAAAGGCCTCTCCTCAGATGAGGACTGACACACAAGGAAGGCAGCATATGGGGAAGTTTGTTTGCACCTATGCTGTACCTGGTCTCTCATAAGACTGACTCCAGGCCTGTGCAATCTCTTGTACATGGATATTCAGATTTCAAATTGACAGTAATTCCCTAAGGTTGTTGACTCAAATGCTAAGAATTTCCTTAAGTCTGATAAATTATGTTCCACTCTGTACTATACAGCGAGCAGGGAAGCGTTCACTTCCCCAGTGAGTGAGATGACCTTGACATGCCAAGGCTGGACTCTCTTCACACAGTGGAACATGGCACATTGTGGCTAAAATGTTAGGACTGTTCTAAATGTTTGTAAGGAGGCATTCTCTACAGCAGTGGCTTTCAACCTTTTTTTTCATTGGTGGACCCCTAAATTTCAAATAGAGCTGCAGCCTCCTTTGGAAATCTTAAACATAGTCTGCAGACCCCAGGTTGAAAACCACTGCTCTATATCTCCTGGAATGTAGCAATTCCCTGGTAAGAGTGCTGTCCCAAGATGTTCTCTATCCCACCCTTTCAAAAAGATCTCTTCTACTTGGGAGAGTTGTGTGGGAGGAATTGTCCTCTTGAACTACAGTGAATAAAAAACCAGCATGGAATTTGAGACTTGGGTAACCATCTGGATGAAGGAGTTCAAGGTGAAATGATCTAGCCCCTCAAATAGAAGAGAAAATAAGCTAAGCTGAGAACTGCTGCCTTTTAGCAGGCCCAAGCAAAATCATGTGTTGCCTGGACTCAAGCATATTATAACTAACTTATAAAATGGCTGGTCATTCATGGTTAGCAGTCTATCTTTCTTGCATGTGTCTACTTCCCATAAATGTGTGTGTTCACTCAGTGTTCCAAATCAATGACTATCGGTGGGGACTCCTTCTTGGTGAATTTCCAAAGTAAAGGGATATATAGTCAGGTAATACAGCTTACTCTAGGGCTAGAATATGGTGACAACTTAGCAGCAACACTCCAGTTTAGGGCACTAGGCCGAATGCAATTACTCAAACTGGAAATTGTTAAAATGCTGTGACTAACAGCCATCAGTTTTGTGGTAGTTCAGGACTAACCTTAAATCCTCTTAAAAAAAAAAAATACTGCAATGGAGAGAACCAATCAGCTATTCTACTGTAGTCTTCAGAAAAGTACCAATGACCTGATGCTGCTTAGGTTCGGTGGTCTGGCAGTATCGCCCTCCTAAAGTCTTAGGCCTGCTGGCTCCTGCCAACCACTTGAACAACTTCTTGAAAAGCTTCCACAACATTGTGTTAGCAGCAGCAATTACCATCACTGCAATCAGAGGGGAATTTTGTATCATGGAGGTGGGGAAACAGTTCGTTTCATAGGTGTCTTATATACACAATAGAGGTTGGCTTAGGAGTCTAAATTAATCTCCCCCTGCTTTGGGCAAACCACTATAGGCCACTGATGCAGCACTGTCCAACTTCACCTGTTTCATGAAAATTTATTTGATTAAATTACACACTGAATAAAGGACTTCTCATCCTTCAGAAGCTCTTTTCATTTTTTGAGTGCTGCAAAAACCAGAATTGAGGATCTGGCATTCCAGAGTAGAGAGCTGGCCTGCTGCAGTGTGCTTTGAGGCATTAGAGGACCACAACTAACAGCTTGCTTTCCTCTCTCTCCCCTCCCCCTGCCCCCCCCCAACCCATATTGGTTCTCAACTCCTATGTTTAAAAGCCACCGCAGCTGTACAGACATACCATAGAAAAACCTACAGCTGGCCTATGCCAGCCAGCTTGGGGGGCTTGGGCTGTAGCACTGCTCCATTGCTGTGTAGACTGCTGAGCCTGGGCTCTCAGCCTCACAGGGCCCTAGAGCCCAGAAGTCTGCACAGCCATGAAATAGCCTTGGAGCCGGAGCCAGAGCCAGCTGGCATAGGCCACCTGTGGGTTTTTCTTTGCTGTGTAGACCTACCTTAAGTGGAGTTGGTCCCAGTGTGGTGGACAGTTACAGTAGATGGTAATATATAGTTTAGAAAAGGCAGCTTCTACCCTCCCCTAAAGAGCAAACAAATGGAAGCTACTGAATAGCAAGGTCATAAGGGTCAGAGAGCAGGCCCTCCCAACCTCTGAGATTTTTGTTTTTGAAGCAGGGGGTGGGGAGGTGAGGAGGAGTAGTCCATGTTGCATAGGCAAAGCTCTTTGCTCTCAAAGTCTAGGGAACATGTAACCAGAGAGCAGGCCCTCACAACCATGTATGGGCAGGAACAGCAGGTTTTTGCCATATTATTAGTATTTGTTACTGACAAGCATCCCCTTCCTGTTTACTCTTCCAGAGAGGGATAGTCATTGTGGCAGTCAAGAGCCTGAATTTAACAGTTTGTCTAAATGTCAGTTTTGCCTTTAAAGAAAATCTTACAAATATTCCTGCCATTAGTTCTCCCCTATTGGTTCCAGAATCAAAAGGTGCTTGCCTCACCAGGAAGGCTTTTTCTAAACTTCAGCAACTGCTAATGTAGTATATGAATATCCATTTAAGATACTCCTGCATACATCAGCATTGATAATATTATGTAGGCAGAACTGTAGGGGGATGCTACTGCTGTACAGGGCAGAGTTTTTGTAGGGAGCTAGATAAAGGGCAACATAATCCACCGCCTGATGAAATCAACCTCCATCCAGTGAGCAGAGGCTAGCAGGACACCTAACCTACTTCCTGTGTTATGTGCTGCTGCCAAGCTAGTTGCACCACAGTCCCCTCTCAGCGCATCCCTACAGCTGATGAGCCAGAAGCTCATCTCTCAGCACAGAATCATGAGATTCTCCTAGTCAGATGTAGACCAGTGGCAGGCCCACTCTGCATCAACTATCATTACCTCCGCAGGCCTGACTTAGATTCAGTACCCGTGACTAGTAGCATATTCAGTAACGATACAGCCTTTTCAAAACAGGATATTTATTTTTAATAGGAAGGCCAAGGAGTTAAAAAAAATCCAGCTGTGGCCTACTTAGAGCTTGCCCCCTCCACCCATCCCTGTTAGGTAGGTAAGGTAACTTCTTTAGCCTCCCTCTGCAAAGCCTGCATCCGGCTGTTCAAGGGAACAAGCTCTGTTCCACTCTCTCAGTGATTTCTCAGTTGAGTGAGAAGGTAGATGAGGTGATATTTTTCATTCGACCAACACTGCAATTAATAGTTAAGAGTCCTATTGATCTGAGGCTCCCCTGGCCAAATAAATCTTAACTTTACTGGAGGTAGGGCAATTAGGTTCTTCCTAGTTAAGGGCCCAGCCCTTTGCCTCATGACCTTAAAGCATTCTAGCCAAAGGTAGTAGCAGCTCATTGCTCTGTTTCCTGGTTGTTCGTCTTGACAACTCGTTTTGATTTAACTCCAGTGTCAGACAAAACCTCCCTTATAGGTCAGCCAATCATAGCATCTGTAGTATTCATGAATACAGCAGCCCCACCTCCTTCACACATTTCACTGCAATTCAGCTGCTGCCTTAAAGCAGCTTCACCCATTCCAGCCCTTTCTGTGTGTGCTCCACTGCAGCTGGGGCAGGGATAGGTAGAAAGGAGAACTGAATCCAGTTTTATCACTCCTTCTACAGCATGCTATACCTTGATTTTGGAAATGCATTGGTTCTAGTACACCAGAGCCTGCCCCCTCAAGGACTGCCCCCACCCTGCGGTTGCAAGTATTAGCCAAACACTGCTTTAGAACATATCTTAAGATGGTTTATACAGTGACAGTGGTCACTGTATAAGAGAGGGGAAAGGTTAAAACAGGCATAGTTACTCTTGTGAAAAGAAGAATAAGGTGGTGAGCACCTACTAAGTCTTCAAATGCATTAAAGGCTGTTATAAGGAAGACTGGTCAATTGGTCTCCCTGTCCACCAAAAGCAGGACAAATAGTAACAGACTGAATATGGAGCAAGGGGAGATTTAGGAAAAGCTTTCTACTATCTAACTTAACTACAAAGGTTATTTTGAACTCTGGAATAGGCTTCAAAGGGAGATTGTAGAATCCCCTTCATTGTCCAACCTGTTCTTAAACATCTGCCAGGGATGGTCTACATTTACTGCCTCAGCACAGGGGGTGGAACTTGATGACTTCTTGGGGTCCCTATCAGCCCTACATTTCTGATGTTATGTTCAAACCATTTCAGAAACCTGGTTTAAAAATTCTGTTTCAGCATGCTACCTGGGGAATGTCACACATACAAGGGGTGACAGTACAAACTATGAAGATTTCTTTCACTCCACCTACTTATTTTGAAACCCACCAGAATATAAACCCAGGCAGTCACAGAGGGTCCTTCCTGCACACTTTCATTAACAAAAGTTACCATGGCTCATGCATTTCATTCCCTTCTAGTTTCTCATCCTCCTGTATAAATTTCTTTAACTTCATTCTTCCCATCCTGTATCTCTCACACAATTCTGTTTTCCCTTCAGGTGTGCAAACATCTCCTCCCATAGCCTTTCCTCCACTTTCCCACTCCACCCTTTATGCTTGCCCAGATGCTCTAAAACCAGTTGTCCAACAGTTTCAGCCTGAAGGCCAAATATTTAACAAAAAAAAGGCAGAGGACAACAATCAGTACTTTATTTCTCCAGGGGCAAGTAGAGCATGGTAGGCTCCTGTGGGCTTGCCCTGGGGCTCCTACAACCCAGC